GCGCGGGCAGAGCGGGGCCCGCGGGGGCAGACCCGCCCCCGGGGAGGCCGCGCCGCTCCCTCCGCGCAGCTCCGCGGCTCCGGAGCCGGGAGATTTTCACAGGCATCGGCCGCCGCTGGAGACTCATCCCCGGGCGTCTGTGTGTTTACAGGAAATAAACGGCTTCTAATGCGAGGAGCACGATGAAATTCGGCTGCCTTTCCTTCCGACAGCCCTACGCGGGGCTGCTTCTAAACCAGGTCAAAACAGTAGAGACTCGCTGGCGTCCTTTGTTAGCAGGCTACAAGAACTGCACCATTGCTATTCATATAGCTGTTAAGGACTGGGAAGATGAAACATGGAGAGAAATTCTTCTGAATAGGTTTGGCATGACACCAAAACAGCTGCAAGATTTGTTGGATGAAGGGGAAAAATTTGGCAGAGGAGTTATTGCAGGTAAGTATCCTTGGGTTATATTTTATAAACAAACTTTCAGTCCCTTAACAGTCACTGAAATACACACGTGCTTTATGTGTTTGCACTCATTATGACATTTGTTTAACTCTTTGAAGGAGTGGAGCATGAGTTGTGATGGGGGAGTCTATTTCAGTTCCTGTATGTTTCAGCACAGTACATATCAGTTTCACACTTCTTGCATGTTGACCTTAGAAACTCTTGCTGAAACCATTTTGCACTACTCGTGGTCAAGCGAATTCATGATGTTGTAGCACTGTGCATGCCATTTTAAAGTAAACATAAATAATTACATAAATAAATCTGATTTCAGTTTTACAAGCCCCCTCTGTCACTTTTGATATTTGGGCAGTGAAGAGGTTTGTTTCTGTAACACAGTGAAGAGGCAGTGATGTTTCACTGCATAAGTTGTGATGACATATAGCAGATATTGTACACTGTACACTTAAAAAGTTTCTAGTGCTCACTTTGTACTGTTTTGTTGTAGGTATCTTTGTTACACCATCTTTCATTGTCATTTGAATACTTTTAGCTGTTCCTGCACAACAAATTAATTCTATCACATACACTGAACATTGTGGTTCTGCAGTGCTGAAAACTGTAGGTCCTACATACTATGTAGATTTGCAGCCTTAATGTAAATTGCATGCTTAATTGTGGTGTAGGTAAGAATTTCAAAATAGTTTAATGATTTTAAAATGTTAATAGAATAGTGGCTTGAGAGGAGCAGAGTTTCATGCTTTACTGAAGCCGGTCTAAGTCCAAATGTAGCTCAGGACTTTTGGTAGCAGCTGTGTCTCCTTAGATGCAGGCTGCTCTTCAAGTTCTGCAGCACTGGGTTGTGGTGATTTTAACTGTGCCCTCCTCCTCTTTTTCTTCACCCACCTGAGTTGAGTCACATGGACTTTTGCAGCAAACAGCACAGGTGGGAGAAGTGCCTCCCTCTGACTGTGCCCTTCTGGTAACAAACTGGCTGGTCTGTGTCCTCAGGGAGGGCTACTTGTGGAAAACTTTTCTCTAGATCAAACTGGCAACTAATTCTGTATTTTAATTGTAATATGCAGGATTAATTGACGTTGGAGAGACATCACTATATCCAGAAAACCTGCCTCCTGAAGAGATTCTGGAGCTGGAAAACAGAGCTGTCCTCAGTAATCTAGAACAGAAATACTTGACTGTTGTTTCAAATCCCAGATGGCTCCTGGAACCAATTCCTGCCAGAGGGAGAACAGGGGTGTGGCAGGTGGACATCCCTGAAGAACTGATCCCTTCAGAATTGTAGGTGTTGCCCCTTACTATTATTTTTCCTGCCTAAGTGCACACTTGTATTTAAGATGCTGACTTGTAAAATACATCAGCATCTTGTTTAGGATTCTATTCCAAAACTATTTGATATGGCAAATACATTTGAAGAACTGCTTTTTTGAGGCAAAACAAACAAGATGTGTCTTTATGACTATTACATGAAATTGTTTTTCTACATTTTTCCTGTACAAACAACTAAATGCCATTTTTAAATGTACAGTTATGCATTGTGTGCCAATTTAAATGTAAATTAAAATTATTTTTTGATACCTGCATCTCTGATTATAGGAAAATGGTGCTTAAAAGCAGACTGCCACAATTTATAGGACATCTGTCCCAGACCACTCCTTGTCCTGCCTTACAGATAGATTCTTTTCATTCACATTTCAGGCACACAAGGTGTGCATATGATGGATATAGCTCTGTGACCTGACAGACACTGCAGAAAGGCCAGTTTGAGACAGTGCTTGTACAAAATGAAACTGAGCAAGTATGAAATTTTTTCCTCTTACTTAAGATGAAAAATACTAGTTGTCTTTGAAAATATAATACTGAATTCAAAACAAGTGTGAAGAATTACAAATAATAGCCACTAAGCTTTGGCACTCTAAAGAGTTTTTCAAAATTCACACCCTACATTACAGTGAGAATCCTTTTGATTTTCTGGAGCAAGGCCACACCTAGGCATGGCTCTAAAAACAGAACAGGACAAGTGGTAGAGTCTTAATATTCAGACACTTTACTGTTCCCTGGGTCTACAACACTTCTGCCAGAGCTGTGGGTCCTGGGCCAGTGCCTGCAGCTCCATGGTCCTCCAGCTGGAGCTGGGCTGTGACCTGGAGGCACAGCAAGCTGCTGCCAGCACAGCTGCAGGGGTGGGAAGTGACAGCAGGGCTGGGTGAAATTCCCTGAGCAGTTCCGTGGCCCCATCCAGGCCCTCCTGTGCCTTGGCTGAAGGGAAGGTCAGCAGCGCAGACAGAGCTGTATGGACACCACTGCCTGAGGACCTGCCTTGGCACTGTGCTTGGCAGGTGAGGCTTTCCCCAGTGCAGAGCTGTGCCAGTTCTCCCTTGCCCCTGCTGTGCATGGACTGCTCTCCTCCTGGGACGTGGTTTCTCATGCAAGCTCAGCCTCTGATTTTCTTCTCCATGGTGGCGTGCAGGCAAATTGATGTCCAGTAACAATCCCGCTGATGTTTGATTTGTTGAACCAGAATATCATTTTTTATATATATATATAAAATAAAACTGCAACAAAATTTAAACTGTTGGATGGAACAGTGCTGAGTTGGGTTTCAGGCAGTAGCTGGTCCACAGGCAAGAAAGGAAAGCTCTGGAGCATCAAAAATGGAAGCACTGCAGCCAAGTTTTTCAGGCATACACTTTGAACACATGCAGAAATGTCCACACACTCCCTGCTCTTCCTGCCATGCTAACACTGAAGAAATGAGGCCCATGGTATTTAACCCATCTAAACTGTGGATTACCTAAATACAGAGAGCAGCTGCAAGGGTTTGGGAATACAAGATATCTGGTTTTACAAACTACAGCACTACAGATTTTGTAGACTCCATTTCTCCACAGCACCTCTAAGTCCAAGGCACACTGTCAAAGCAGGTCTTTCTTCAGACAAGAAAATGCTATGCCAACACCAACAAGATCCTATCTTGAAAAGTTTAATCATTTACACTGACCAACACAAAGTTGGTAACAAAGACCAAGCTATGATATTTACACCAGCTAACCAACAGCTGTGAAACCTACCAAAAATGTTTCTGGCATAGACCACACAATGTGAGAAACAGCTTATTTAACAGCCAGTCTAATGGGAGAATGGTACATGCTGCTCAAGAAGAATCAAAATATGAAACTGGAAAAGCAACAAAAACAACATGTAACTCCCAAGCCAGCACAAAATTTGAAATACTTACATGAATATTTACACAGCAACTCAAAAGCATCGTGTAAGTCACCATACATTCTACTTCCCCTCCCAAAACTTTCCAGTGTTGCCTCAGAAGTGCAACACTCTTGTGCCTCTGTGATGATTGCAGCTGGACAGAGAAAGAAGAGGTACTATGCTAAGGCATCCCAAAGCATTTAAAAGAGACATGAAAACAAGTGTGTATTTAGGACCTAAAAGACACCTGGAATAGCACAGGCATTTCATACAGGGTTTTTAAAAAAATACTTTTAGATAATACTTATACTGTACACAACAGGACTTTTAAACAATATATTACACTGCTAAAAATGTTCATATAAATACTATACAGGCAAGCGTGCAACCAACCTGTTAGGAAGGTTCACAAATTAGACAACCACATATTTCTGGAAAAGCACTCAGATTATCTTCAAGATTTCTGATTTGTGTAATCCAAGCCACTGATACAGCAATACCTATTTTAAAGGAATTGGGACAAGGCATGAGATGAAATACATCTGTCTGCTGATGACCAGTTCAAGTTTAATATGCTACTGTCATCTTAATCTGGCATATCAATATTTAACTTGGGAGGTGGAATCACATATTTTCCAGGACTCTGTGTAATGACAACTCCAGTCTTTTTTCGAAACATTGGTGCAATTTTTGGTGGTTCAGGCAGTGGTGTTTCTTCTGTCTCCTCATTATCTTCATGATGAAGATCATAAGAGATATTTCCATATTCTCGCAAGAATGGGAAAATTTCAAGCAGGAACTGGCAGAAGTCTTTGCGAATTCCAAACCACCCTAAAAGAAGTGAAATCGTTTTACATTGTTAACAGAATGAACTATTTAAGGTCTCTTGATTGTTTGCATATAAATAAGATTTTTTAATGCTGCTTCTCAGCATTCCTTACGCCTATCACAACATTACAGTTCAAGTTATATACACACAGACAGTCTGGACAAGCATTTGCACAGTTCCATGTCTGCACATGCATGCCTGTGTCTATATCCATCTGCATAAATTACAGCTACACTACCCCAGCAAGAATCCATTTCGTTTCACACATTACAGTGTTGGGTCACACCAGTACAGAGAAAGAACACAAAAGACTTAGCACCTCAAGCAAAGTAAACGCCACAGGGCAGGACACTGTAAGCACTGAAACCTTATTACAACTGCCTGAAAGTATTAGTAGAAGAAAAGCCCTTTCTGAAAATACAAATCTTAATGAAATACACTGATTTTTAATCTGTTTCCAGGATTCTGAAATACTTACAGTGATTGCCTCCTTTTTGTCCAAATGTTGTTGCCATTAATGTTATCAGTGAAAGCCAGAGAGGAACAAATATGGGTATGAAAGAAAAAGAATTATGCCCATCCAGTCTGTGTACTAGCAAGATCTAAATGGAAAAAAAAATTATACAATGTCAGTTTAACTGCAATACTCATTTTCAAACTGCTTAAAGCATATGCTGATCTGAAATCTTTAAGTTCATACATCTGTGAGGAAAAAGTGGCCTTCACAGAAGCATGTAGTTATACTTCCAGTGTGATGCAGATTTTTCTCAAGAAACTTTAAAGGAACAGAATAGAATTTTCGTTTGTGTTTCATCTTTGCTGTTAATATTTTATTGCAAAACAAAGAGCAGCATTCTCATTTCAAAAAGTTCAAATATTGTCATTCATTTCTTACTGAAAAAAGAGTAAGACACATCAAACTCATTATGGCTTTTTCTACCTCAAATGTGAGCAGTGGAACTACAATTGTCATCCAGCTGACAGCCATGGTTATGTGTGTCCTCCTCTGCTCAGCAATCACGTCCATGGAGCGCAGGAACAGCACAGACCACACAATGTAATAGAGCACAACGAGGCACAGGAAGGACATCAAGATCCACAATGGAACACAGACAACCTGAAAGAAAAACACATTTGATTTGTTTCAGTTGTGGGTTTTTGGTTTTTTTTGGGTTTTTTTTTTTTTTAGCAAGTCTACGTATTAAGCCTAAACAAGAAAATTAAGTCTTTAACTAAATAATGTCTAACAGAAGGGCATCAAGCTCATGTGTGTTGTTTCCAGACATAATCAGTTCAGGGGTTCCTCAGCTTTCTAAACCCCATCAAGTTGAAACAATTTAAAATTAAGGCAATGTAGTTCAACTTAGGTAAGACTTCTGTGATTTTGCATGGGCTCAAACTGTACTTGAAACTGATTTTTAACAAGTACTTCCACACTGGATACCTTACTTTAAAGAGTTTCAATCCTTTCTTGAAAATTTTTGACAATAGAAAGGACAGTCAGTTTCATGGTAGTTTACAGAAACCCAGTCACAGAAACAGCACTTTTGTTTTCTAAAGGCACTTGGGACAGGACATCTCAGCAGTTTTGACAAAGACTACTTGCACAGTAAGTGGATTTACATTCCTGGTAACACAACAAATAAAAGTAGTTATTTACCAATACATTCTCTAACTCACCAATCATTTTCATGGCTTGTTTAGTGTTCCCATTGGGAACTTTGGGTGAGGATTTCTCATTCAACTGCTGCTCAGAGAAGAACTGCAGTAGATGGCACATTCCTCTCTCCCAGAGGATGATGTGCCCAAAGAACAGCCTCTGACTGCCATGACCACTGAACGAGATGCCAGACCTTCAGTGAAGGATTGCTAAGCGAGCAAAAATGGGATCATGGACTGACCATGTATGAACTGTTCCCTAGAATCAATATCTTTATGAAATTCAGCATTTAAACAAAGATAAGAAGAAAACACTGGTTACATACAAGCCATGGCCATCTGATGATCTCATCTAGTCTGAGTGCAATAAATATGAACTGTAGAATATTGACTGAACACAAGATTTCCAGCTAGAAAAAGAAAAAAAAAAACATTAGTTAACTCTTAGTATGATAAACTTACTTCCAGGATAGCAAATGAACGTGTCAAAGTACTTCTCTGACCCCATTCTTATCACTGAAATATGAAAATTCATTTACATTTACATCTTCTATTACTAAACACCCCTAAATTTGTGTGGGTGTGATCCCAACCAAATAATGTAGAGTCTGCTGTTTTCGAGATCTTCCTTAAAAAAAAAAGGGCACTTAGAGTGACGTAGAGTCTGCTGTTTTCAAGATCTTCCTTAAAAAAAAAAAAGGGCACTTAGAGTGATTAGAGAAATAAGAAAAGCCAAACTAATCAGAAAGAAAAAAGCAAGGCATCAGAAAACAGCTGTACTTTTCATACACTAAATACTGCTAGAATTAAGTAGTAAAAAGACCTTCAATTTAAAATTAGCAAAATTAATCCTTTGGAATATTTTGTAGTTTCACTAATGGGCAAAACTACCAACAGTCCAAATTAAAAGTCTAATTAAAATTAAAAGCTCTATTTAGGGAAGAAAAGAAATACATGGAACATTGGAATATGACATCCAAATTCAAATAATTTACTGTATATGACACTGAAGACATAAGTTTTGTGGCAATAGAGAAAAGCAATACTTCTCATTAAGATGTTAATGAAAGGTTTTCATGAATTCTGCTTGCCACTATGAGAAAGAGCCCTTCATTATACTTTGTTTTTTGTTTTTTTTAAAGTCTGTGTCTAACTTGAACAAAGTGAGACAATGAAACACCATCATGCTTGGCAAGTTTCTGCTTCCAAAGTTTATGGGCAGCCCTACAATGGGCAGGATTTTCAGAGACCACAGAATTATTATCCGAAAAGTCTAACTGAAGCTTTTGAATGCAAGCTAGAAACATTACTCATTTTAATAAAAAATATGCAGTTATGTAAGGCCTCTTTCAAATGTAAGATTTCTCTGAAGGCACACACTACATGCTACTTTTCACTAACACACAGGATTGCGTAGACTGTGATCTGGATAAATGCCTTTGAAAGTTACAGTTCAGGGAGTCAAAAATCCAACAGGCAGCAGGCACTTGCCAGCTTCAGGAACCACACCAAAGTCTCCACTGTTCAGCTATAAATTACTTTAAAAAGACTGAAAAAGTAGATTTAAAATAATTTTGTACCCCTGTCTTTCTTAAAAGAGTAAACCACCAAACCCTGCCACTCAAGCAACCAGAAAGCTGCAAGAGCAAAGAGAAAGAGAAAAATATAAAAATCAGAGGATCAATTGCTGTAATAGTTCATAGAATCAAGTTAACACATGAGATCTATATGGCAAGTGCACACATATTTGCAGTGGCTCACAACTTAACAAATTCAACGTGCTTTACATAAATAGTGCTTTACTGACTACAAAATAGTGTAACACATAAAAGGAACACACATATTTGCAGTGGCTCACAACAAATTCAACATGCTTT